TATATATATATATATATATATATATATATATATATATATATATATATATATATATATATATATATATATATATATATATATTATTGTTTATTTATTTATTTATTATGGAATTAATTAGCATTTTGGATTTTTCCCATGATGTGAAATATATAGTTTTTATTTTTGGTTTGCGTATGATTATATTACTTATTTTGCAAAATAACTATATAATAGGTATGATAGATGTTTGTTGATAGGGGGTCTATGAAATTACATCTTAAAGTAGGGATAAATTATGGGTTTTAAGGTAAAGTATAACCATTTTTATTTTATTTTCCAAAACTCCGAACGTATTTTTCATATAATTACAAAGATGCCCTTCTTGTTAATCTTTTTAGTATAAGTTAAGTACCAAAAATGAAATATCTAGAGAAAAAAAAGTACCAAAATGAAAATATATATAATTTAAAGGTAAAGATTTGAGTAGATATCACTTTATAATTTCATAGGTCTTTGGTATTGGATTAAGGATGGTTTTGAAATAATAAAAAAGTTAAAGGGATATATAAAATCTTTCCAAAGTTTAGAATCCATTTTTTTTTTTTTTTTTTGCTAAAAGAATAATACTATTTTATATAAATATTTAAACTTTTAAAATTGTTAATTAACTTTGTATAGTTGTGTCAAATAAATCTTTAAATTCTCAAATTTTTATATTTGTAATAATAAATGATATATATTGTGAACTCGTGAAAGTCAATTGGATTCCCTTCATTTTATTTTATTTTATTTTTCTCAATAACCTTATTAATAAAAAAAAATGTATTAATTTAAATCGAAACCGGAGACGTGGGGCCCAATAGTGTAAAGATATAAATATAATGAAAACCTGCCAAATAAAGGAGAAAAAAGTAATGGAATATTTTTAAAAATAATAATATAAAAATAATATAATAATTAGTTGTTTGATTAAGAGGGTTTTGAAGATTGACAAGTGTGAACACGGAATGGTAGAATATGGTTGTTTACGGCTTCCACTGAGGGCGGTCGTTGGTTGGAAGCGGTGACTTGGGATTGCCAACACGCGGTTTTTTACTTTTCTTTTTTTCTTTTTCATTTATTTTTTCTCTTAACAGTTCACTTATGATTTTAAAACATATCTGTTGTAACAATGCGTTATTGTCCACTTTGGACTGAGCATGTTAGACGAACACTCTCCATAATGGTACGATATTGTCCACTTTGGGCTTCCTTGCTTCCCCAAAAGGCCTCATACCACCGGAGTGAGTATTTCTTGATTATAAACCCATGATCATTCTCTAAATTAGCCGATACGAGACTTTCATCATCCAACACCTCTCCTCGAACAAAGTGTGCCTCCTCTTAATCGAGGACTCCTTTCGACTCCTTTGGAGTCTT